GCGGAGAATCACAATTGCGTGACTGGCCACTTTGGACTTGCGACCGTTTTGAGATAGTGCCGAACTTCAGTGATCTGAACCGACTCTTTTTTGCTAATAAGTACTTCCAGCGTCTACACAAAAGACGCTGACCTGATATTTAAACGATGGTCATACGACCAGCCAGATTGATAACACATCAGTCCGTCCAAGGTTCCGCAATTGGGTCCACGATAGCAGCTTGACAATTAATACCGAAACTGGTAGAACACATGAGTCACACCATGCTCTCGTTCGCACAGGCTTGGCAGGTTACCTCTAATCCAAACCCAAAATGCCACGTACGAGACGCCTCGATGTCGCAACCCCGCAACCACTCAGGACCGTCGAGGTTCCAAGCGTAGAAATCCGGTACAGTTTTACGAAAAAGGCAGTACACAGTGATCCTCATTACTCTTTCACCTGAACGCCGGCCAAAACACCTTCCCCAAAAATCACTACTACATTAACGGGACTGTATCAGAGAAGGTAGAATCACACAGAGATATGCGTATGTGGAGAACCGTGAATTGAATGTTGTCAGAAAACTGCAACAATATGGCTCAGAAGGCTACTTGTACTTTACACTGGATCAGATATGTAGTTCTAATATTTCCTACTTAACCCTTCGGAAGACGTTTCGCCTCCCCCTCCCCATCTGAAATATGGAATGCTGTTGCCGAACGACATATTGGCAGAGTTTCACTGTCGACTGACTTTTCGCGAGAACCAGGAAAAGCTTTGAAAGGAATTGTGTCAAACAAATGAACGTTCTTCTTTTTTCTCTCAAAGATTCATTAGACGCCTGGATAATCATCTGTAAATGGTCAACGAGAACTTTCAAAACCTTATCTTACAGACTGCGCAGATGACTACGAACAGGCTACTCTCTTGAGTTGGATAGATCGTTGAATCAGCTAAAAAAGTTGTAGTGCAAATGCAGTGAACGTGTTGTATGCTGTTATTTCACAAATGCATTACCTTTTTCCATTTGTGTTTCATTATTATTTTTATGCATTCAGCATAATAATACGACCTGTCACCCTTTTTCAACTTGACCTCTTTATATGCATACCTGTACAGTTTCAATGGAGCTTGTAAGGGCTCTGTCATTTACTACACATATACTGACTGATACTGACTGGCATTGTCTCCAGACTTGATGCTACTCGCCAGGTTTTCTCAAGCGTTAGGAAGAGTCTATGGACCCGACGGCACCACCACCACCACCATCACCATCACCACCACTACCACTAAGAAGACTAGAGGTGGCTGACTACTGCTGCCCGAAAACAATCATTTGGAGGAAGTACACCGAATTCATCTCAAATCCGGCAGTCTACGCTCGCTCAATTCGAAACCTTGCTCGGAATAGTTCGCTAAGATATAAAAGCGGCGCTGAGGTTTCTGGTCTTCTCCGCTGGCAAAGAAAGTGGGTTGAGCTGTCCGAATCTGCCGCCAAAGATTGGAGAGCGTAGAGGGATACAGTCCCGACCGAGTTCAACGTTATCCAGATCATGTAGGATCACAGCCGTAAAAACTACCAAAAGCATAACTGTTAGAAAGGTGGCGGCCAATTTGTTGGTTCACAGTCCTGATGCCCTCCTGTGCTTACTAACTGCAGGTATCAACAAAATAACCTGTACAACTTTTGTTTCAACCAAAATATGCAAAACAAAACACATTCCCTCGGTTTGCGGGTTTGTACTCTTGTAGGATCGAAAGTCATTGATATAGTTAATGTTTCTGCCTTTTTTCACATAATTTATAGTCATACTTGATTCCCGTTTTTATATTTTATAATTATAGAAGAAATGTACAGGCTCTAGAGTTGAACGGCCTCCACCTGCTTTTCGCAAAAAGGAGACAGACGAGAAGAAAAAGAAGCGACCAAAGAGGGGCAATTCTAAAAAGGCCAAAACGTGAAAAACAATATCCACGCGGGAGCATTAAGCCATAGAACGCAGCTCTTAAAATTAAAATTGTTTTGTACTCACAGAAAATGCATAAAATCAACTTTTTTATCCTATGCAAAAGAAGAAATCAGTGTTGACCTTGCTTTCTTTCAATCCTTCTCAATACTTACTTCAATTCCTTGTACTTATAAATTCCGTGTTATAGATCTCCCCACAAACCATAGTCTAACCCGCACTTCTAAGATCACTAATGTACAGGGGAAACTGTTGCAAAATAGGCAAAGATCCAAACTTCTCGGTACGATGCACCAGAACGCAACGTTTGAAGGCAGATCCCCTCACTGAATTTTCTCGAGACTGAGGCTAAAATCATGTTGCAAATAGCGTTTCTTGAGCAAAATCGTTTACTAATGCAACACGATTCATGCGAAGCATCTAAATTGCGTAAAATGTAAATGGTGAATATTGAGTATTATTAGGAGGTTTGGCAGACTTGCTTAATTTGAGTTGACCCAATTTGGAAAAAACTCAGGGCGTTCGGCGGGATTTGAACCCGCGTAGTAGAGAAGGCCTTTTAACGGAAGCCAGCGCTATAATCATTTTTTTACTGTGGGCTCAAATTAAGCAAATCTGCCAAACCTCCTAATAATTAAGTCAGCCTAGTAGGCATC